ACATTGTCAACTTGGGTTGTTTGTAATGAGCTATGGCTCCTAACTCCCTTGTAACCAAGACCATATTAGAAGAGATGGCAGTTGCTCACATGTCCTCTGTACTTCCTCACACAATTTTCTGCATTGTAGTCTGCTCAGTTTTCCAGACTCCGTTTTTTTGTTTGTTTTTTTTTTAGTTATTTGGCTAATAACTTTACAGAGTTAAAGCGAAAATATTTTGTTCCAAAGCACCTCCCAAACACCCCCTTCATACTGTACCTTTAACATTAGTCCATCAATTCTAACATCAACATGCTCGTCAGATTTTGAGTTGTCATTTAATTTATACATGGTCATGAACTGTGTAAGACTCTGTTTCAAATCCAACACGAACTGATTTAGCCAAAGAATGCTTCTCTCATCCAGAGTGAATTGCAGAGCATTCAGCTGGACATACAAGTTTGGAGCTGGAACTAAGAGAAAATGAAACAAAACAAAAATCAATTTTCTATGAAAAATTATTAAAAACACGCATACGCATTTATCTTCAAAAAATACAGAGCCATATAATCTCTCCTTTATGCTATTAATCAGGCAGAATAGGAGTAGGAGGTCAGAGGAAGTCCAAGTCCTATCATTCTTCCTTTCTTCTAACCCCAAAGCAATTCCCAGGTCCAATCCTGGCATGCAAAAGGCTAAAATTAAAATGGAACAGATTGGGTCAGAAAGAGGAGGGAGAACAAGGGGTGGGGTGGGTAGGGAAGGAAACGTCACAACGGCAAGGAAAGGGCAGGGCAACAAGCGAGTCACTCTCCTCAACACCATCCACAAGAAACCCACTAGGATTTCCACACATAAGATAATATTGACTTCTACCACATTACTAAAATACCTTGAACAGACCTTTTGTTACATTTTCATTACATTCCAGGAGTTTGACTTCTTTTGTGCAGCCAAGTAAGGCAAACATTCAAACAAAGTATATGTTGCATAATCAATATTTTATTTCTTGGTGAAAACACTATGCTGGCTTCAAACACAATGTTTATTAAAAAAGAAAAATCAATGCTTTAAATGGGTTTCTCAGAGCAAACACTGTGAAAACGGTAAAGTGTTTGTTTCACAATAAGTTTGCTTTACAAATGATTCAGTGCAAGCTCTACTAATAATTTTGGTTGTAAACCTTGAATCAATATGTTTTTCAAACCTGAAGTTACTGTTAGGCTTCACAAAAGATGACTATAATATGTAAGATTTATCTTGCAGAAAAAAAAAATCTTACTAGGATAATCCTTTTCATCAGGGTAGTAATATTCAGTGAATTCAATATGAATAGCTGACATCTCTGGTGGAAGATAAAGTGACTTTTTATTGCAAGAGATTAGTGTTTTAGGGGAAGAACGACATTGGTCTGCTGTAGAGACCTGAAAAAGACAAATGAGAAATTTTATTAATATACTACTTGATTTTTATGAATTAATTCAGTATAGCAGCCAGTAGTGCAACAGACTGTTCTACCTAACACAGGGGCAGGCAATTATTTTGGGTGGAGGGCCGCTTACTGAGTTTTGGCAAGCCATTGAGGGCTGCATAACAGGCAGCCAGGGGCAGATAAATATTAATTTTCTAAATTTTTTACAGGCCCCATGGGCCAGATAGAATGGCCTGGCAGGCTGCATCTGGCCCACGGGCGGCATTTTGCCCACTCCTGACCTAACAAATGGGATCTGCAACAACACTAAGCACAGTGTGGCAAACCCCACTATATATCTCTAGTTGCACCTGGTATGGGCAGTGATGCATATGCAGCCACAACACCAGTGCTGGCAGTCTGAATGCACCCCTTGTTCTGGGGTATACCTACAGCAGAAGAGGTGTGCTGCTAGTGCCACATGCCCTGAATCCACAAAAGCCAGGACACAGCAGGCACATGCAGAAATCACCCTTATCTCCATTATCTTCCCTATCTTTACTAGCTGCAAACATTGGAGCTGTCCAATGTTCACACAAACAAGAACCAGATTGCTGCACTATCAACACCATGACCCTGAATACAGACAGCTATGTTAAAAAAGGGGGGCATGTCTGCAAACTGGGCAGTCTGAAGGATTTCCACCTGTCAGGAGAAGACGACTCCAAAAGAAACTCTCTCCACCTCGCTCTCTGCACTACCCTGGAACCACGGACACTGCCAGATGGCAGGCAGGATTTGGATTACGCAGTGTCCAGTGCAGTGCTCGTCACTAGGGATCCAGGTTTTCTATGGAAAATCACAGATTTCCCCCCTTTTAACAGAGCAAATTGCAGATTTTTCCCTTTAAAGAAGAAAAACCCACCCCAGGAAACTGCAGGTTTCCCTTTGCAGGCTGTCTGAGTTCCAGCCTACAAGGGGCTGCTTGGGTTGGAGGGAGATCAGAGGCAGGGGGCCCATGTACATGTGTGTGCACACATGTGCATGTGAGCAAAATGCAGCCA